TTTTTTTTCCCCCCAGCAGGTCAGAGGTTCTTCAGTCCTTTTTTGCTAAGTAAAAACTAGGCAGTTTTATGACTGTAAAGTAAAGAGCCAAAGCAACACTATTTTTCCCTTCGTTAAGAAAGAGAAAATCAAAAACTACTCCCCCTTCTCCCTCCCAGGAAGCACAAAGCGACAGAAAAGAATCCACTAGACACAGAGTACAATAGAAAAAGTAGCACAAATTACAGAAAACATGGGGGAAGAATGGCATGCTTGAGATCTCATCATTGCTTTTTGCAATGACTTAAACCCAAGAGAGATGTCTTGCTATAAAAATTTTAAGAATTACAGAGAACGAAGTTCTAACACAAGAGAGTTGAAAACATTTAGTTATAAATCTTCTTTTAACAAAGAAAACCAAACAACTGGAATAACTTGTAGTACTAGCAGCTCCTCCAGATTATTTGTATACTAATTCATTACTTGAAAAAAAAAAAAAAAAAAAAGGCACCATTAGTCTAATCACATTCCCATTTAAATGAATGGAAAAATGCTAACATATTTTTTTAATCAAAAGCCAGATCGATGCACAGGGATTAGTCCCTGTAGGTCATTTGCACACAGTTTGCTGGATGACACTATATATAATAACTTCTAAGCACTTGGAGCATTTCAGATTGGTATCCAAGGAACTCACAAATGCATGGAACTTGATATTCCTTGTCATTGCAAAGAGTTACTGGAACTTCTGCAAAATCTTTTCTGGGAGAAAAAATATGAGGAAACAGTTCTTTTGATTGCAATAGACATTTTAGTAAATAAAGAAAAATGGGACAAATTATTTTTAAAAAATCTCATTAGAGACACCAAAATATTGATTAAGCTGCTCTGAGTGAGCTCTTGAGAACTGAAGCTAAAAGAAGTCCTAATAATCAAAAGAAAGTCTGTTATAGCAAAAAGTGTTATGGTATCAATAACTGTTAATGAGCAACTTCAGCAGCCTCTTGCAGCAAGAACAAATCATCTATCACTTTCAGAGAGCTGTGGTTCGAGGCTTGCTGAAAAGCAGCACAGGATTGCAGGAAAGCTAACTGAATTGCTAACAAAACATTCTCCACCAGCTTTCTAAAGTAGTACTTTGAGATAACAAGGGAGTTTATTAGCCAAAATAGGTCCCATGCTAACATTGGGTTGTGCAGTCGCTAACAAACACCGTGGCTAGAGCATCAAATTCTGTTCACTAAATTAGCAGAAGAGCAACTCTGAAGTCAGCATATAAAAATGTCCTAGTTTTGTCTGGGATACAGCTTTTCTTCATAGCAGCTGGTGCAGTGCTGTGCTTTGGATTTCAGAGAAGAACAATGGTGGTAACATTTATGTTTTAGTCACTTTTAGTCCCCCTTTTTTTTTTTTCCTTTCTTATGAAACTTTCTTTATTTCAACCAACAAGTTCTTGCACTTTTACCTTTTCAGTTCTCTCCTCCAACCCACCGAGGCAAAGTGAGCGAATGGCTGGTTGGCGCTTTGCTGCCTGCCTGGTTAAGCCACAACCAATATGTGAGATTTGGTCTTCAAGAATGAAGAGGATATGACCTAACTAATGCTTATCTAGGATTTATTTAGATTTAACTTGGTCAAAAATGGAGTCAGCTCATTTACTTCCATCTCATTCTGTGTTAAGACATTTAAATTCTGTTTGCAGGATGTGAAAATGAAGTATTTTGCTTAGAGCAGTAGAATATTGCTTGTATAAAAGAAAAAGCCCTAGAACAACCTCATATCTCCGCACCCATCTCACCCTGCCATCATTAGGCTTTAAGTGCTATGTTTTGAAGTTTTGCTGTGTTTTTACTATATTTAGAACAGCAAATATGTGGATATTCTATATATATATATATATATATTATTTTTTTTTTTGTGATACTGAATAGAAGGCTTCAGGTAATACCTCTGCTGCTTTCTAAGGGAAATAGGACAAACAGTGAGTCTGGGCTATCAGTGTCAGAAAGTACAAATACAGTGTATCAATGAGAATCATCTTAACTGGCTTGAACTATTCCCTGGCTATCTCAGGAACCTGACTTTGTGGCTTGGCCACCTTCTGTGTTCTCAAGGCCCTCCTAAGGAAGGAAAGAGATGCAATTTGGCAGGCTTAGAAGAGCTGACTTCTGGTCATCACTATTTCAAACTTGTTCATATCTGACTGGGCATTGCCTCTTCTTGCAGAATGAAAAAAAAGAAAAGATGACTAAATAATACATCTTTCAGAAGAGCAGTTATTCCTTCCAGTTGGTATGAGGTTAGTTTGCAAACACAGAAGGCAAGAAAAGTAACTCAATCTCTTTATCCACGTATAACTGGTGAGTTTAAGGCAGTGCTGTTGTAAAACGATTCCCTGTGACCTATTTCTGCAATCAAGCTCTGCCAGGAACAGTGAGCATAAAAATCAAGAGAGAGTTAAAGAGCGAGACAAAGCAGGAACACATAGACAACACTTCAGAAAAACAAGATAATCTAATTCCAATACACTCACAGTCTCATTGGTCTTAGCAAGGAAAATCATACATATTCCACAGCATGTAACTGTGACTTCCAAACACCATTTGAATCAAAGCTCAAGTGTCCCCACAGAGGCAATGTCGTTACCTTTATACAGAAATACAACAAAGAGACTTCTTGGATCACAAGACCAATGTTGGACAACTAGTGGCAATCAAGTTGTGTAAAGAAATCGCCTGTTTAGATTCTAGAGTAAATTCCCTAACACAGCTCAAGCCTGGAATGTGTTCCTACACCACAGTAGTTACGGAGTTTTGCTTCCACTAAGAGACTAAGCTGATGCTGGCGTAGCCTGTAAAAACGTACAAATGAGCCAGGATTAATCATTTTCTGCAGACCTGTCCATTTGCCACAACATCAGGCTTTCAACAACATTCAAGAACTACTAATTCAGCAAAGCTGAGGTTAAAGAACTCCTGCAGGTAAAAAATGAAGAGCCTGCCCCTGAAAGTCATTGGTGGCTTATTTTTTTTTTCATATTTGTTTTTTGTTTTTGTTTCACTGTTCAAGACTTCTGTCCCAAGAGAAGCAGATCATTAGTCACTGGAAAACTTCAAAAGCCATGATATATCTCATTTTGTTTGGGTTCAGTTGACTTTCAGAGAACTCTCGAAATCATCAGTTTATATTAATTTAAGTAATATGAAGTACTGACTGCATATTTGAGATAACAATGTCAAAGCCCTAGAAGAACTTATTACTTTTGACACATACCAAAACAATAACCTTTCATATAGTTTTTGCAAAAGTGAGAGCTAGAATGCATGTAGCATCAGTTCCATTTTCAAATTAGCGCCTCTAGCAAGTAGTAAAGAAGCTGAAATCTTTGGGGATATCTAATAGTGCTTCCAGAAATTGTTACTGCTGTTTCTAATGCAGTGCTAATGTGATGTAGCACTTCTCTATTTTTCTCCTGTATTGAGTACACTGTAGGCGTTTACTGAAACATTTTAAAATGATTCTATGACTATATGTCAATTATCACTATATTATGAATAAACATGTTTAATACATCACAATAGGTATCCCCTTTCTCAATCCCAGAGTTGTCTGCTTCGTGAGTGCAGGTGAATCCTACCCTTCCTCTGTCTAGAAAGAGCCCCACAGCTTCCCCACAGCTTGGAGTTAACTTTAAAATACAGAGAATCTTCTGTGGATTAATACAGAAGAGCCAGAGGGTTGTATCAGTTCTCTGTTCTTACTGAATTTGTGTACCTTACAGAGCTGCCCGGTTTTCACCAGAAATACAAAGAAAGTGGAAATCAGAGTGGCACACTGACTTTTTAACTTTCTATGAAGGACTATTTTGAAAAAACAGAGGTTTGCCTACAATTTTAATAACGTTGACAGAAATAAATAAACACAAAAAATAGACATTCTCCAGTCTTTACTTAACCTTTTTTTCCTCAGAAGAAAAAAATGAAAATAAAAAATCAGCCTAGAGAGCCATTAGTTTTTTTCCTGTCCTTAGATAAACAGAAGTTAACACAGTATCCAACCTGAGCTCCAATTTCTAAGTACTGGCAATTTGAAAGAGAAAATAAAAATAATTTAAAAGCAAAAGTCTCTGTGAAAACCCTTCAAGTATTTGGAGTATTTCAGAAGACTGTCTTCTGCAGCATAATACAGACAGACGAATTAGTGACAAATATATGCAGATAATATTAATGTCCCCAAAAGATGTTTTAAATTTTGGCACTGGTCACTCTACATTTATATATCTTTATGATTTCTCATATACTATGCAATTTCACTGAGATAAAACTGATTTCCTATCAACAGATTTTTTAATCATAGAAACTTCATATTAGTGTTTGTATTTAATCTTTATGGCTCAGATGCTTTAACCCACATTTTAAAATTGCTGATTGGATGATGACTACAGAATCCATAATAATATTTCAAGAAAAACTAAGTGTTAAAAACAGATAAAATAATTAATCCTATTCTTTTTTTTTTTTTTTTTTTTTTTTTTTTTTTTTTTACCAAGTATGAGAAGAATCTTTACTGTTCAGTAGCTGTTAAGAGTATTGGCTGGGAGATGAACCATATATGAGCTGTACTCTTGGCATTGCTGCTGTTACCTTTTCTGGACTTGCCTATGATCACCAACACCAAAACCTTCACAGTTAGCCACAAATTTTGTGGTTTACATTTCCTTGAATGAAGACCATTGGCAAGATAAGAAAGCAATTGTTGACATCAGTGTCCCACCTTTACATTAAGTATAATATCAGCTCTACATGATTCAATGAGATTAAGTGTACAGTTGCTGGCCAAAACTTTTTGTAAGCTAAGTGTATTTCACTTACTTGTTCTATTAGCTCTTTATAGCCATGGAACTTATTCAAGTGAAACTTAATTATGTTGTTGTTTGTTGTTTTTTTTGTGAAACCTAATTTTGTTTTTCATGTTTTGGAAGTGCAAAAGAACTAATTCTGAAGAAGCTATCTTACCTTTCTCACTGGTTTCCATTCTCCAACAGACGTGATGGTACTCCTCAGTCAAGAAGAAATCAACATACTCTTGCATCACTTCCTGGTGTGATGTTTTCAGGATCTCATCAAAGATTGCTATCTTGAAATCTTACCTGGCATACGAAGAGGAGGAAGATCAGGAGCATCATCTTCCTTGAAATAAACCTGATGAAATAAAGTTCATGTTTTATCATTTTTATCTCATGCTATAGAAAAGCAGGCTAAAAAAATAGAATGCTTATTTATGCTAATAAGCTTTCCTCTCACCCAGCAAGAAGTACAAGCACCAAGCAGTATCACCATTTTGTATTAAACCATGGTAATGTATTCCCGCACAAACTTGCCACTAATCACTAAGATGCAAACCCCAGGGCCACAAACAGATTTCATTTTTGTCTATTTCCATCACTGGAGTGGAACAAAGTTTATTTTGACCTACAGTTCCAGGTTTCATCTCCCTGTACGAAGTGTTTGAGTGTGCTGGAATAAAGGATGGCACAGTTAAGGAGAAACTCCAGTTTCATGCCCCTTCTATGCCCTTGGCTTATTGCACAATGGGTTGGAGATTGCAGGAGCTTTTCTTTTGCTGGATAAATGGAGGCTATTAACAAGATAGTTGTAGTGGAACATTTAGGAAACATCCTGGGCTCTTCATTAGCGTAAATGCCAATACATAGCACAGCCACTATGTAAAAGAGCCTGAAACTTTTAGTAAGAAGGATGGAGGGAAAGGAGAGAATCAATACATGTATTTTTTTAATTTCTGCTTCATTTAATTTAAGCATTTTATATCTTTCATTTGTAAAGTGAATACTAAGTGAAAAACTTCAGCATTAAACTGTACACTGATCAATCAAGTCAACTGCATGTTCATCTGCACTCTGTTTCCAAGTTCTTTCCTGAAGTCAGAACCAGGCAGATGTCCCTGAAGGAGCCATGTGGGAGAAGCCCCCACTCAGATGAGGCTGTCTATGAATCACACATGCAGTTTCGTCTTTCACCCACCGGAATGTAAATGCAGAGTAATACCAGCAAGGTCAACATGAAAAAGATAATTTTAGTCATAATCCATATATTTGTGTTCAGCTTTGATAGCTTGCACTACTTTAGGGTCCAGCAAGAAATACTGAGGAATCAAGCACTGCTTATTCAGCTTGAGAAAATTCGCTTTTTCCCACAAAAAAAAATATGAATTGCAGAGTGTTTTTCATTTCCTGTATAGATACCATTGCAATGTCAAATCCTGTGAGGGCAAAGCTAGCCAGAGACTACAGATGACTTAAAACTAGCTGCCTCCCAGGTGCTGAACATTCACAGGGTCTTACAGTTCATGTTGGCCCACCTGTGAGCAGTACAGATCACTTTAGTTAATACACAGTGCCTACACCATTCAGCTTTACGTGGTTTGTCATTCTTTATCACTTTTCCCTGCATTCCACATGTTTTTTCATGGTGGTTGCATATTTGAAGTCTGACTGCCAGAAAAGCAGCCTACTCATAGCTTTTGGAGTTTGATGGGTAAGTCAGCATCCCTGATGCAAACCAAAGGTCATTAAAATGACTGCACAAAGCTTGTTTAACTTTAGAGGTTTCTTTGGGCCAACTCGTAGTCACATCAATGATGATGATGTTAGCAGCGTCATTCATGTCATCTACAATCAAACTCCTGTTTGCAGACAGCTGGCAAAGGTTCACTCAATTAAGGGGTAGCTGAGCAGTGCAGAAAAACTTGAGACACCCCATGCACCAAAGAATGCATCTATCCCTAGGAAATAAGCTCTGTTGCTTTCCTGTGGTCAAGACAGCTTGAGTCTAGTTTAGTGCAATGTTTTTCTTAAACAGTTATCTAATTTTTCTTTATACTGTATTTTAAATTGGGAGGGAGTGGGCTTTGCATTCTTCTAGAAAACAGGTAAAAAATCTGAAAAAGGGATACTTCTCCTTAAGAAAAACAGTATCTTTATACAATCCCTTACTTTCCCTTTTATTTACATTCTAGTGCAGAGGTTCAATAAGTTTCTTCTACCATATGAACACAGACCTAATGTCTAAATATTTATACGGCTCATATAAATATTTATATGGCCCACTTCATCAGCTAATCGTAGTCATTATTTTTTGATTGCTTTGACAAACTGCCTGACTAAACAGCACTACAAAACTTAAGAAATATTTTACATTCTTTGTTGGCTCAACTTCATGTTTTAAAAAACAAACAAATGAAAAATTTAGATTGGATGCACTCTCCTGAATCTCTGTTCACATGACACTGATTTTTCCTTTTTTATTTTATTTTTTTGTTTAGAATGAGATCTGTACTTTTAATCAGGGTGCAGATTTAGCATCATAACACACTGAAGCAAGAAAAAATTGCATTGGAAAGGAATTTGCTTAGATTTCAAAACACTTAGAAAAACTGCTTAGAAAAACTGCTTCTTAGTTTAGGGCACAGAAACAGAGCTGAAGCAAATAATATTCTTCACAAACTAGATTTAGTAGACATTATTTCACAGTTATACTATGGATCCAGATAAATACAGCAAGGTACTACAGAAAACTCTGAAAAGATATAAATATATCCAAAATTAATTTTGCTATTAAAGTGTTAATTATTTAAATATAGCTTGAAGCAAATCCTGTGCAACTCAGAACACAGCTGAGTCTCTGAATTACTGTAAATGTAACTACCCATCTTTGACATCTAAAATGACTATGACATCTCAAAAGTTATACAGACCAATACAGAAAAGCCCTTCTCATTTAAAATTTGTAGTTTCAATTTCTGGTTTTGCTCTGTTGTAGATTTTTTTTAAGAGTTTGGTAAATAACAAAGAATTTGGCCTTTCATAAACAGAGGCATCCTACACGTAGCTAATAGACAGACATTCATTTGAGACTGATCCCAGGTTCAAATCTTTGTCTTCCTTCCCTTTGATTTAGACCAGATGCTTACAGGTCTCTGCCATTTTGCACAGATGCTCAGAAAATGAGAGAGGCTCTTTTGTCATGAACTGACTTCATAAAATATCAACTGATTCAGACTACTGGACTAATCCTAGTCCAGCAGCCAGGGATGTAGGTTAACTGTTCCTAGTTCTGGTTCAGAATTTGGACTAATTGCTGATACACTCTGAGTGCTTTCTCTCTCTCCTTTTTTTTTTTAGAAAAAAAAAGATACTATTCTGGGCTGTGGAAACCTTTGCAATGATCATTTCTGAACACTTCATGAAATTCTATTTCTTTCATGAAAGAGAGAAGGACAGAGAAGCCTGCTGAAGCTGTCGGAGCACTCCAGCAAATACCTCACTGCACACCTCCAGAGATGCTTGTGTGCAGCCTGTAAGCCTCACGTTGATGCAGCGTGAGACACTGTTTTAAGATAGGACATAAATCTGAAGATCGCATTAAGAGTTATCAGTTCAATACCTTCCTGAATCTGAATCTTTTCTCAGATTTAGTAACACTTCAGCACAATTCATCTTGATTATTTTCTGGGAAGACAGAGGGTGTTGTGGAGACTTTCTAGGGTGATGATTCATACATTTGCCTTCCTCCAAGAAAACACTGAAGCAACACATAGTTAACATGAAAGGAATTTACTGGATTCGCACCATGGTACATCTAGAAAAGAAAAGTAGATAATTGAGGTGGACAGGTAGCCAGAGGAATCCTTTCTTTCAAACCACAGGTAACTTTTCAGATATCCTCTTTTCTATAGTGCTTCTTACTCCCTCCTTCCAAACGTGTCCCTGTTTAATGATAATGATATCCTGACCCTGCAGGTGTTGCAGTGACACTATAATGCATCCTGCCGGGGCAGTCTCTCTCATCAGCACAAAGGCTTTGGATTCTCTGCTCCTATCTCCTCTGTCACCTACACAAAATGATTGTACTTCACCCTTTGTACTTTCTTTCCACCAAACTCTCCCATGTGTTTTTATTTTTGTTGTTGCTTTGTTTTAGAACTTGATCCAAAACAGTAGGTGGTCTTTAGAAGAGACTTCTGAAGATGAGGGAATATTTCAAGACCATTCCTCATCCTTTGAGAGACTGCCTACAATGAGAATCTTGTCACTAGGAAATATTTAAAGAGACGTTAAAGTTACAGGTCCTAGCCTTAAGGGAAAGGAAACAAAGAAATGAGAGACGTCAGCTAAAGAAAATTTTCTTAACCTTGAAATTTCCCCTACCAAGCCATATGCTGCAGCTTCTCAAAGGGTATTGCTGCAGTACAGGGAGAACAATGAGTATTAGTTGAATAATCAGGATAGATTATCAAAATATATAAAATCAAAGTCTGTACCCTACAGCAAGTCATAAAGAAAAGCAGCCATCTGGAGCTTAAGAAATGTTTCTAGCTTTGTCAGTAAGACTTTATAATAAACACACAATATCGGCTGCTAATTAAAAAAGCTACAACTAAGCATTCTCACTCTCTCCAGGGATTTTTTCCTATATACTTTCACATTCAGAACTGTGATCTTCATAAAAAGATCTTTAAGCTTCTGTGGCTACAGGAGAATGACTACAGGATCTTTGATTTCCCTCATTCACTTCCAATATCTAGAACAAGTCTGGACCAATGAGTACTATCAAGTTTGTGTCTTCGGTCCTTGCCAAATTCTGGCTTTCTTACTGATATCAAGAATCTTCTACCCAGCATTACGAAAACAAACAGAAAATCAGGTGAAAAGTCTGACAAAGAGCACCACTGCAGGTTCCAGCAAAAGCCATAGAACTTTTTGACATGTAAATGACAGCTGGAGAGAAAGGTACTGAAGTATTGAAAAAAAACTTCAAATTTTTTGCATTTTCATTTATAATGAGGGGGAAATGTATCCTTTATTTCTTTTAAAGCTTTTGTTTTTACTAAGGATGTTGAAAATTTATGTTTAACTTCTGGTCAGGAATATACTTTCAGGAACCACATAATCCTGCACAGTACATGCCTTTTGTCTTGCATTTAGAGCTTTCAGTTAAGCTCCTTCAACATAAAAATTTATACCAACAATCAGGCTAGCAACATGGTGCAGACCCAGAGACAGCTTCCTTTCCCCCTCTAGATACAGCAATGATAGCACTATGGTGCAGATGAATGCAGTGGAAATAGGTCTGGAATGGCTCAAAGCCATGCTTAAAGATTTCCACCTCTCCTACCAAGAGATCTCAGCAGTAGCCAGGTGTTCTACTCCCACTGCCTCCCCCAACAAACTTAGATGTCCCGCTAGGTGAATTGCCAAGGGCCAGACCTGTGTTTCCCAATGTGTGCACAGACGAGGCATGCAACTGTATGTTACAGTCGTGTTTACGTATTTAGAGGTTTTTCTAAGTCAGAAGGTGCACTTTCATTCCTCCTTTCTGATATACCAAGCATCTCTGCTGGAACAGGACATGGCACACAGAGCAACCCTTCTCACAGGCAGGGGAGGTAAGCACAGTCCAGTAAGAAGGGCTGGTCACAGAGGTTTCTGCACATAAAGGTTCTTCGTGGCCTCATCAAATTCCTAACTCAGACTGATTAAAAAAAAAAAAAAAAGCTACTTTGTTTCACATGATGAAAGGTGCCCTACTTACTGAGAAGACAAGTTACTTTTTGTTCTTTTGATTTCCTGCTGGCCAGGATGTACAGATGGTTTTTTGGAAGAAAAAAAAAAAGGAACAGATGACACTGAAGCACAGAAGAGATTAACAGGGTCACTGGCTTGCACTCCTGGGGTCTGGTTGAAGGATTCCTGCTTCTTAAAATTGTGAGCAGCAAGAGATGACGGACTCATCACTCAATGAAAAGTGAGTTATGACTTTGCGGCATGAACTTACTTGGCTGCTTTCCCCTGCCTTGGTTCTTCAGGATGGGAAGGCTCACGGGAAATGGTTACTTTGATGTTTTGTTCAGTTTTTCTGTGGAACATATTAAACATGAGGCAGTATCAGATACAAGTTCAGAGCATCTGGGCTAAATTCACAGTTGATATTGGTGATATTTCTGCATTGCTTCAGGTGACGTTTTAAGCAGGTTATTTAATGTGCTAATAAGCTTATAACCAGAACTATCTGACTAGGAACAATAGGTCTTTTGTAAAGAGATGCAGAACATGTAGCCACTCTAGACTTGACATATATCAGGCTAAGACACACACAGAGTTAGCTAAGGACAGTTAGGTAGTGTGCTAACATCTTCATTAAGTCAAGAAGAAAACATGAGTAGCACTAACAATACAGAAATATGGCAAAATCATCTCATGTGACACCAAAACAGGCATCAGGTGAGATGCAGGACACGTTACACCTGGTGTGAAACTAGTCTTTGAACAGAGTAACTGCAGTGCAACATGGTGAAAACTCACATTAAAAAACTGACATGGAAAGGTACAATAGACATGGGAAAACAAAAAAATCATCATACAATCTAGATTCTTTTTGGCTCATATTTTTTTCATGCTACACCTGCAAAGTACTATGCTCACTTATATTCACATCCTATTGAACAACACATAAGGAAAACTAGATCATGCAAAAAATAAAAAAAAATAAAAATAAAAATAAAAATAAAAATAAAAATAAAAATAAAAATAAAAATAAAATAAAATAAAATAAAATAAAATAAAAATAGAGTCCCCTTACAAGCCTAGCCTAGGGCTGTAGTTTCTGGTTTGAAGAATAAAGAACAAATTTTCTTTAGGGCTTCAACCTCTCATTATATCCATATCCCTTCCAGGCTCCGGCATGCTTCTAGGGACAGGCAAAGAAATTCAAGCCTCTATGAGTTTTTGGACTCACACAGAGCTTCATGGAATAATGCTTCCAGGCTCATGTCAGTCCATGTAAATCAGACAGATTTAATCTTCTGGTCAAATTGTGTTTTCCTTAAACAAACTTACAGTTTGCTGACACAGACAAAACAACCTGCTCCTCAAATCCTGCCACCCTCTTGGCTCCTGGCTGACTCCAGTTTCTGTGTATCGTGACCTAGAAGAGAATAAGAAAAACAGACTCCTTACCTCCAAGAATCTCTTCTGGATTTTTTTCCCCCTGTTTAAGGGCCAGCCTTGTCATCTGAAGGATTTATGAGGGTGCAGCAACAATTCATGCAATATACTGGGATGCTGCAGGCAGGGAACTCCTAGGGTATTCCCTTCCAGCATCCTCCAAAGCATTTCAGACCAGGCTGCCATACAACCAGGGCTCTCTCCTGCAGACTGCTATGCAGAAATGCTCACAGTGTCCTTTGACTTAGATACAGGTACCTTAGACGGCTAAGATGGAGAGAAAGAAGCATCCTGCTTTGGTATATTTTGTCCTTAAGCGGTTTGGCTATTTTCTTTATGCTCTATGCTATGCTGCTGCCGTCACGGAAATCTGATCTTCAGGGAACAAAGATGAGGATCAATTTGACAGGTTTTTAGTGAATCATCTGTCTAGCAAATGAACCTACACTCTGAATCTTTGCAATTGCACATTGCAGGAAAAGCCAATGGGTGTCTGCTAGTAAATCTGGTGATAGATGAGCAAGGAAGGAAGGAACTAGATTATTCTGAACTGTAATGGCTGCAAAGGGCTAAGAAGATCAGGAGGAGTATGGTACGGGCATTAAAGTAATCCTACCCAACTCCCAGTAAATAGCAAATCCGTTGAGTAAAAGAGGTACCGCTTTTAACTCCAATTTCTCTTACCATAACCACATTTTAACAGCAAGCACAGCAGGCTTAACTGTGGACTCCGACAGAAATTTCCAGTTCCCGAAACTGCAAGTTCCATTTTCAAAGCTTATATATTTCTTCATACTCACTGAATGCTTCTATCAGCAGTATGGATGGCAACTATATTGAATGGACTCGAGAGAGGTCTGTGACTGGCAAGAGCTCAGCCAGCTTACCAGGCCCTATCCTGTTCTCTGGCATACGTGTCTTCCTGAGAGGAGAGCTCTAAATTTGCTTCACTGTGCAAATATGCCTACGTTTTTTGCTATCATCCCTTTTACTGAAGCTAAACCATCAAATGCATCCACTGGAGCAAATCTGGTGTCTCCATTTCCATGGATCCCTGAGTGCTGTTTTACCTTGTGTGACTGCTATGCCTCCCTACACCATGACCCATGGAAAAGAACACCAAAACACATCAGAGTTTGCAAGAACAAAACCAAAACAAAACAAAAAAAAAAAAAGAGAGATATGCTAGAAAGTGATGCAAATGTATCTCCTGTTCACTTAAAAAAAAAAAAAAAAAAAAAAGAAAGAGAGAGATTGGTTTTAGAGGTTGACACAGTTTGAAGCACACATTATGACTGAGGGTATAAAGGAAGGCTCACCTGGAAGCAAGAAAGGAGTCATTGCTCTAGTAAGCAATTGATTATCCCTGGCCCAAACACTGCAACTACATGTATGAGTATGTCTCATTTCTCTAACTTCTTTGGGAATTAGTTCAATGAGCTTCCACAGAACTGTCTGTGTGGATCCACCAACAAAAGGAACGTCAGCACAGATCATAAAGATCTAGCACAAAACATCCTAAAAAAGCCCAACAAAACAGTACAAATTCAATGAGTCTAAAGACCTCTATATAAAATGCATTAGCAGGCATCCTGCTACCACGGTTTACCAACAAGCCCTCCTCTTCCAATCTATAAAAGTTTCATTAAAATACATACTGCCCCATTTCTTCCCTGTGTCACAGGAGCACTGCCCTCAAAGAGCATTTAATGCAGGACACTGTGGGCCAACTTCTGCTGGCAGTGTCAGTGATAAACCTCCCATTGGCTCACAGACGAAGAATTAAAAGCTCTAAAATCATACACAGCGTTACGAGATCTCTTTGAATACAGTAGTGAAACTTCCACCTGCAAAGCAAGCAGTTTCCAAGAGACTGGTTGATGCTGACGTCAGAATATAGTGTTTAACATTTCTGTGTAACTGAAGCCTTAGAACTGCTAGTTCTCTCAAGAATGGGGGATTGTATTTCTTACTTCATCTGAAAGGTGATTTCATGCTTCAGGAAGTAAAGAAAGTTTGTGCACTGACAATATAAATGCAGATGCCTCCTGTAATGATTGACACCACAGGTCGTGCGAGTGGAGTTTCATTTCTACTCCCAGTAGATCATGCAGCCAAGCAAATTAACGGCTCTTTAGGAATTAGGAAGTCAAAGTTTTGACAGCTCTGTCTTCCCCCTTTGAAATGGGATCAGTTCAGAAGCCCTCCTTGAGGTCTGATCTGCTCCTCACAATTATCTGTTTTAATAGACAATATAAAAGCCAGTGACACTCAAAGTGTACTGTCATATAGAGGCGAATTTCCTTCCCTGCAAAGGACATAAGTGGCAATGAAAGAAACTATTACATACAGAAGCAGTAAAACACTCTGTCATAAAGAAGTATTAATTTCATAGAGCTGTCAGAAAACTGTTTCTGCCCCAATCCTAAACATACACCTCAAAATGAGAGACCTTGCACAGCTTATATCTGAAAGACTATTGCTGTTAGTGTAGAAGATAAGCAGAGTATATCCCTAACAAGTTGCTTTTGCAATTCTTTCTCTCTTAGTAAAGAGGGAAATTTCCAGTACAATAGAAAAGCTATCAAGCTACAACCCAAATATTGTGACAGATAGCGGAAAGTGCAGCTCAGCATTTTCCCCTGCTGTGGATGTTCAGGCAGTACCTTTACTTCTTCGTGAATAAAGGTACACAAAATACAGCATTGGAATATCAGTAGGGTACCAGTAATTCTTTTGTACTTCTATGCCTGATGGCAGGCTGATTTGGTCCTTGCAGCCACCTCTAAGAACCAAAGAGAACATCCTCATGCTCCCTTCCAGCCACAGCACACCCAGGTCTCTCTCTGCCAGAACACTGCTTGATCAAGCCCGTTCGTTATTCGATCAATTGAGTTTCCACCACAGCTCACACAAATCTCAGTTAGAAGTCCCCTCACATGCACATTCACCTAGTGGACAAATGGCTTTGTTTGCAAACTAATTTTTACAAAAGCCATCAGAGGCCCGTTTGTCAGAGTTCTCAGGAGTTGCTTTATGCTACACAAACAGGACAACTTTTCTCAAGGGACCATGGTAAAACCCTACACTCACACTTCACCTTTGTTATCAACCTGTTTTCTTCAGTTCCTAAACCGTACAGTGCTTCCAACAAGGGATGCCCTACCAGCTCTGTGTCAAACACTTCTGGTACAACTGCTACTGTAGTAAACTACAAGTATGTTCAACAAAACTACTTAATGCACCACTTCTGTACGCTGAATACCTTTGTATCATGTAGGAAACACTTACCTTTTCCTTCTTTCATTACCATTATTAAGAGAGAATGCAGGCTACTCCAGCCTATTTATATCCTTTCTCTTCACTTTTTATTTGCACAAACACTAACTCCTGCACCTTTTCAAGTGAAGGAGACATTATTGAGATGCTTATGAAGCTACCAGTGGTTAAATAATAGCAAAGTTACCAGTGGTTAAATAATAGCAGTGCATTAACGTATATAATAGAAACTTCTTATGTGATAAGCAGTTGGTGATCAAGAAGAAAGAGTGTAGTACCTGTGTGACAGAGGGAAGACATCATCCACCCAGCTTCATCCCCAACTCCTTACTTAGCCCTGACCAACACATAATGCTGATTGAGGTCTACACAGAGAGCAGGGAGAATTACCTAGAAAGAACATTCAATGACCAGACACCCAGCTAGCACATGATCCCCTATCTCACCTTTACAGCTTAATTCACTGCTGCTTGCTGACTATCGCTGCTTTGGAGCTGTGCAGTACAAGGAAAACAAGATACTACTCAATTTTGCTGGTGTCTCTCTCTGTAATTTCCAGCATTATATATTACAGGCAGGTATCGGAGATGCTGACTGCTTTCAAATGTAATCTCTTGATGGCAGATAAAGTTGAATTAGAATGGAGCCTTAGGAAATTCAGACTTTGACAGCAGGGAACCACAGCATATGCACATACACTATTCTCCAGTAGAAACTGTAAGTGCTTATCACTGCTGACTTGCATAATTCCTCACCTTGTTACAGTACTAGCTCCAAAGTACTTCAACACACAGGACTGGGACTCCTGTTACAGCGAAGCTGTAGTGATTTACCCCATTGGGAATCTGGTACTTTTTCCCTCTTGGAGAGGATCCAAGAGTTCCAGTGGTCTATTTGGGAACTATCCAAGCATTTGTGATCCTGGACAGAATACAACTAGACAAGAAGGAACATAACATAAAAATAATCTCTCAAAGCCAGTTTAGAAATACTTCTTAAGTCACTCTTGAAGCACTGATCATTGTCCAGCTGACGTACACAACAGACTTCAAGGTTAACTCTTCCCTTGACCTACTGTCACTTTCTCAAAGATAAAATACCTTCAATTTCACACTGACCAGGACTCTTGGTTAGAGCAGACTGATAATGATTTAACTTGTCTCTGTTTTTAATGGATCTCTTCCCTCCTCCGGTAACTTTTTCACATGCTCTTTTTCAAGCAGATGTTATTTTAAGTCTTTATTTGCCATGGTAAGTAGGACATCCACCTTTCAGCTGGTGAAAAACTGCATACGTTGAAGGGATCGATGCTAGTCCGATTAAGAATTTGGCCCAATACATGCAAAGGCAGTATTTGGGGAATTATACTTCCAACATGTCTGACCACGTTAATGACCCCTGTTTGTAGGGGCAATTTTCCACATAAGAGACACAATGTTTGGTAACATGTCCCTTGAAGCCTAACAAAGAAACAAAATATGCATGCAAATGTAATCAGAATCATGTGTGGAAGAAAAAAACAGGATTCCATAAAAATGAACCATCTCATTATTCATCCTTCCTTACTGTACAGCTTTTTAAAAACATTTAAAAACCAGCAAAATCTGATAAATGAAGCTGTTGTCAGAATAGAACCACTACAGCATCTACTGACTGCAGACATTTAAAATATGTGAATAAGTTATGCAGAATTACTATGT